TGACAAAAACACCTGACTGTGACAGGCGTACATGACAACTGCATTTTTGCATCTTTCCTTGAATAGTGAAACACTTTTGCTTCTGCCTCGCCTTTGCAAGAATTTGGTCTGAGACATTTGGCCGCAATTTGTAGAGAGGTGAAAACTTAAGCTCCTTGACGGCATGTGGTCTGAGTGCTGTTTTTTGCGCGTGTTTTTTTGTGCCTGTTTCCGATAAAAAAAGGCCGTTAAGAAGCAAATATTTATCCCGTCATTTGTAACTCGAGATGAACTTGATTCCAAGCGACACTTAGTCCAAATCTTAAAGATTCAGTGCTTCCTTCGACGTTTTCGAAGACGTTTGTACTAACTTCTTGATTGGTCAGTGGTAGAATTTCTTGCAGTGAAAATTCCATTGTTTTCCTCAATGCCTTTCAGGACTTTTTAAGGGCAGGGTTTGTTAGGAAAACTATATGATCATCGTTTGCATATACCAAAATATTTATTTAAGTAATAATAAGTAGCGTTTAACCTAGAGACTTGATACTCAAGCTCACACGAGTTGTGTGGAGTGAGTTTTATTTTGTATTTCACTTTTATTTCATTGGTAATGAGAATCTAGTAGATCTAGGTTTATCTGCGTCTCTGCACTAATTCATATTCTAAAGCACTCGGACCCAGATAATATCAACTCACCCCTACTCAAGGTGTATTCTTCAGCAGGATATTTATCAAATGCAAAGTCCTTTATAACTCTTATCCCAGGCGCCTTGATCTCACTATTTGGGTCAAAAATCTCCCATTTTAGCACCCAGTCGAACGTTTGACGGATATTTTCTACCGCTATCGCTTTCGACAGAACATCAGAAGTATCAGACAGCCAATTTATTATCTGGTTAACCCTCGGCCAGTCCCTCCGGCATCTGAAAGTTATGCCCTTCAAACGGCTCTCTACCCTTTTGCTTTCGGTGTGGCAGAGTCTTAAAGCTCGTAGTTAGATACCTAAATACATAGAAAAAACGAATAATAAAACTGCAGAAATCGGCTTTTTTAGCCGAATT